CAGTCAGTGCTCTTAACCCCTGAGCCATCTCTCCAGCCCCTCACCAGCCCTTTTACTGGATTAAAAAAAAATTATTACTGTGTGTGTGAGCACACGCAAGTGCCACAGTGCATGTGTGGAGGTCAGAAGACAACTTTGTGGGATTGGTTCTCTCTTCACTTTTATGTGCATTTCGGGGTCCTGACAGCTTGTGCCACCACCACTTTACCCACTAAGCCAGCTCACTAACCCCTTTTGTTGAGTTTGAAGATAAAACCGAAAAGATTTTCTGAGGGATGGGAAGGGAAGGAAGGGAGGAGACAGAGGTGGGGGGGACAGAGAGAGAAGGAGATGGAGAGAGAGGGGAGGAGAGAGAGAGAGAGAGAGAGAGAGAGAGAGAGAGAGAGAGAGACAGAGAGACAGAGAGAGAGACAGAGACAGAGACAGAGAGACAGAGAGAGACAGAGACAGAGACAGAGAGAGAGGAGAGAGAGAGAATAATGCAAGAGTCTTGCAGGGAATGTGAGACCAGTGGCCAGGACCAAGGAAGCAGGTTTGGGGTGGGGAGGAAGTGGGGTTAGCGGGTGGGCTGGTGACCTTACCCACTGGTGAAGCAGAGAAGAGGGGTTTGGGCGGAAGGTTTAGGAAGACTGAGAGAGCGCCCAGAGGCAGAAACACCCATGTGAGTGGGCGTGGCTGACTGAGGCTGTTCAAGGTAGTGGGTAGTGGCCAGGGAGGTCACCATATGAGAGCAGGCCTGTCTCTCCACCCCAGGAACACTCCATCAAGGTGCTGGAGCTAATCTCTACCATCTGGGACATGGAGCTGCATGTAGCTGGCCTTCGCCTCCTCAACAACCTCCCGCTCCCGGACTACGTGCACCCGCAGCTGAGGCGGGTGATGTCCTCCTTGATGGAGATCATGCAGTCAGACTGTATCCTGGCACAGGTGCCTGCCCACCCGGGCCCCCGGCAGTGCCGGAGCAGCAACTAGGGGAAGAGCAGAGGAGGTTCAAGCCACCATTGCGGCCGAGACCCACCCGCCCTCTCCTGCTGTTCCTTCAGGTCCAAGCCATCCGCCTGCTGAGTTACCTGGCGCAGAAGAACGACCTTCTCTATGACATTCTCAACTGCCAGGTGAAGAGCGATGGAGGGAGGGCTGAAGGCATGCTGACGCAGGGGTCGTGAAGATCGGGTTCGCTGCGTAGATTTTTCTTTAGATTACTTTCTAAGGTGCGCGGGTGCGTGCACGTGTGTGTGCGTGCAGTGCCCGCGGAGGCCAGCAGAGGGCAGCAGAACCCCGGGAACTGCAGCGACAGGGGGTTGTGAGCCACGCACGTGGGTGCTGAGATTCCAACGCGGGTCCCTCTGCAAGAGCACTCGGAGCTCTCGGTCGCTAAACCACCCCTCCAGCCTCACACACGGAGGCTTAAACTGAATCTCGGGAAATCACTCGTGCTCTCTCACTGTGATGTAATTTCTCTGGAAAATGAGAGCGAGCGGGAAATGCAAACGTAGGGCTCATGAGAGAGCGGGGACAGTGGGAAGCCAAGCATGAGACTTTTAGGACGGGCCGGGGCTCACGAGTTCTCTCACACCCCCACCACAGGTGCATTCCAACTTCCTGAACCTCCTCCAGTCCTCGCAGCCAGGAAACCTGCTCTTGGAGGTGCTGGTGTTTGCTGAGCGGCTGAGTGAGGGTCGGAAGGCTTCCCACTACCGAGCGGTCAAGTGGCATTACAACGAGCAGTCCCTGCACGAAGCCCTGTTTGGGGACGAGTCCAGACTGGCAGATCGACTGCTTTCCCTGGTCATCCACCCCGAGGAGGACGTTCAGATCCAAGCCTGCAAAGTCATTGTCAGCTTACAGTGTCCCCAGGACTTGGGGTCCCGGTCCTCCATCTGCCGTCCTACTTGCCGTCCCAGCCATTCCTACTTCAAAGACGGGGAGTAACGTTGAGGAAAACCAATAAATGCGTATGGGAGGGAAGTGCCAGGCTTCTGGAAACACAAGTCTGTCCGTTGCCTCCCAGGGCCTGGGTGGAGGTCCTGCACATCAAACCTCTGCCTAGGCCATGGTACAGCATGGGCGAGTCTCCCAGACACACCCCACTTTTGTGTTTGGGAGACTGACTCCCTCCTTCTGTTGCTGCTCTTCAAATCTGTTTTTGTTTTTCCATTTTTGGTGTGGTGTGTGTGTTTCCTCTTGTGTGTGCTTGCTCATGTGGAGACCCAAACTTGATGTCAGGCTTAGCCGCCTCCACCTTACTCACTGAGGTGGGGTGTCTCACTCAAACCTTATCACGAATACTGCCAGCCTTGCCAGGCAGTTTATCCTGGGGATCCCCGCCTCTGCCTCAAGGCTGCTGGGACAGGCAGCCGCTCTGCCTGTCTGGCATTTGCATGGGTTCTGAGGAATCTGAACTCCAGTTCTCATGTCTGCATGGCAAATACTTCATCCCTCAAGTCATCCCTTAGACGTCTTTTAAAACCTGTTTATGTGTGTCTTTGTGTGTGTGTTCTGTGTGTGTCTGTGCGTGCCTCCTGTGTCTGTCTCTGTGTGTTTCTGTGTGTGCATGCCTGTGTTGGAATGGAGGTACAGGTGCTGGGAACCCCGGTCCTTTGCAAGCAAGCGTATCAAGTGCTCTTCCGATGAGTCCTCCAGCTATGCTTGAAGACTCTGCCCCAGGCCATCCTGTTGGGAATGGTGTGGGAATGAAAGGTGGGCCCTTGTGGGAGGTGCTCGTGAGGCTGTGAGAGGCCTCTTTCTGACCTTCTGTTTGGTGATATGTCTGGTGGCACACAAGCTCCTGCTGAGACATGTCGCCATCCACCCCAGGCCTTACCAGAGGCTACACCAGTGGGGCTTGCCTCATCCTGGATTTAGAACCTGGTTTAAGCCAGGCATGGTGGTACATGGCTTTAATCCCAGCACTCGTGAAGTATGTGTATCTTACACTGCACATTCTCACAGATTTTATTGGTCTGTTCCTCTAGAGAACCCGAATACAACGCCCTACGATCAAGTCACTTTTGCATTTTTATTTTGTGTGTGTTTGTATATGTGTGTGTACCCCTGCCATGCCACAGCACATACAAGTCAGAGGACAACTTGCCAGAGGAGAGTTAGCTCTCTCCTTCCACCACGTGGATCCCCGGATTGAACTCGGGTTGCCAGGCATGGCAGCAAACACCTTTACCTGCTGAATCACCTTGCTGGCCCAGCACACATTCTTACACCACATGCCCCTACAAGCCCTGGCTGGAGAAGAGCCATAGCTTGCTTAGGGACTCCCACTGAGGAGCGGAGGAAGACCCTGGCATGTTCTTGAGTATTAAACAGGGAAAGGGACCACCGTGCCTGTGTTACCTGCCTCTCAAAGTGGCCGCCAGGAAGGATGGTGTGCACATTTGCTCACGTATCGGTGGCCACAGTGGGGCTGTGGAGGAAGAACTGAAAGTATTTGGTGACATCAAGGGAGAGAATGACAGACAGACTAGGTAAGAGTGACAGCGCTGGAGTCAGAGTGCTGGGTGTGAATCCTGTCCTGTTCTCTATTAGCTGTGTGACCTGGGGTGAGGGATGATCCTGTTTGAGCTTCAGTCTCCTTGTCTATAAAAATAAATAGAAAAATAGCACTTATGGGCCTCTTGGGGCTGTGATGACATTAGAGGAGCTGTGCTATGAAGTCGTCATGGAGAAGACACAGATGGTCACTTCTCTGGGGTGATTGCCCAAAGACTTAAAAACAAAAACCAACAATTATTTGTTATCTCTGGAACTTAGGAGTGTTTTTGGTTGACTTGTCTGGTTCCATTAAGCTGTGGTTGGTCTGGCCTTGGCCAGGACTCTCTGTAGTCAGCTGAGGGCTCAATCAGGGCTGTCCCCTTCCACCTGATGGCAGGTCCTCACTCTCTCTACAGGCTGCTGAAGCGTCTTCAGGTCAGAGCGTCTGGCTTCCCCAGAGCAAGTCTAAACAAATCTGAAAACTGTGTATTCTAAAGAATTAAACAGAGAAAGATGTGTCGGGGGCCTGCAAGATGGCTCAGTGGGTAAAGGTGCTTGCTGCCAAGCTGGAGGACCCAAGTTCAATCCTCAGCATCCAGCGGCAGGAGGAGAGCAGCGACTGCGGCAAGCTGTCCTCTGACCTCACGTATGCCATGGCAGAAAGTGCCACTCCACACACCGTAAACAGTTAATAAATGTAATTTTTAAAGGAAAAGTATTGCATTTTAATTCTTCCAGAGTAAGTTCCCCCCTTGAGGATTTCAGTTCTTAGCATCTTTGAGAAGAAACACTGACAATCAAGGAAGGTGGCAGCAGGCTGCGTCATCCTCAGACTCACGTGGGGTACAGTATACAGGCTAGTGTGCTCATTGATCTGACTGTCACAAAACAGAGTGAAGCCTCCACTCAGCTCTGATGCTGGCTAAAAGATTGAGGTCTGGGAGAGCCCACATTGACCTGAGTTTAATCCCCAGAACCAATGTTAAAAACCACATAGGGTCCCCGAGGTCCAGGGGTGGCCAGGCAGTTCCATGGCTGGACAAGCCCCTGCCAAATGGACACAAAGCCAAAAAAGACCCCAGGAACAAATGTCAGCAGACAAAGTGCACATGAGGGAAGAGGGGAGCAAGGGGGAAACAGGCCATTGCTGACCATGAACTACAGATCTGATTGCAGAAAACCAGACAAATCCAGAATCAGGCTTCTCTCCAGCAGAGGAACAAGCCAAGTGTGAGTAACCATCTTTGTCATCTTTGTGTTTGCCGGGGGCCCCTCCCACTCCTTGTATAGCCCAGAGGGGTATTTCATCAGCTAATCCATTATATTATTATTATTATTATTATTATTATTATTATTATTAGTGTTTACAGATGGTTTCTCCATGTAGCCCTGCTTGTCCTGGAACTCACTTTGTAGACCAGGCTGGTCTCAAACTCAGATTTGCCTGCCTCTGCCTCCCGAGTGCTGGGATTAAAGGTGTGCACCACCAATGCCCGGCTTTAAATGTGAATTTTTTAGTTGCTCTAGAAACATTTGTAAAATGAAGGACAAGGAATCCCACCACACCCCATTTTTAAAGTGTAAATCATTTTTTAAAAGGTGAAATCATGTCTGGATGGTGGTGGCGCACACCTTTAATCCCAGCACTCTGGAAGCCCAGGCAGGTGGATCTCTCTGAGTTTGAGACCAGCCTGGTCTAGATTGAGTTCCAGGAAAGCCAGGGCAATACAGAGAAACCCTGTCTTTAAAAAAAAAAAAAATAGCTGGGTGTTGGTAGCGCACACCTTCAATCCCAGCACTCGGGAGGCAGAGGCAGGCTGACCTCTGTGAGTTCGAGACCAGCCTGGTCTACAAGAGCTAGTGAGAGGTCTTAAGGGAACTTTGCCTGGTCTGACTCTGGAACATCCCTGAGTAACTTTAAAAAGAACAGCACAAGACTCCGGAGTTCTGATGCAAGTGTTAAGAACTGAAATGTCTGTGTGCTGATCCACAACCAATAAAATCTCACTTGTGGAAAAAACAAAAAAATAAAAACAAAGCAACAACAAAAACAGGGCTGGAGAGATGACTCAGTGGTTGAGCACTGACTGCTCTTCCAGAGGTCCTGAGTTCAATTCCCAGCAACCACATGGTGGCTCACACCATCCGTTATGAGATCTGGTGCCCTCTTCTGGTGTGCAGTGAGATATACATGGAAGCAGAATGTTGTATACATAATAAATAAAATCTTTTTTTAAAAAAGTGGATGGCACCTGAGGGACACCACCTTATAGTGAAACGCAATTAATACATATTGCAATAGAGTCAGAGCAAGTTTGATCAGCAGATGTCTATTAAGAAAGTACTCACGAGACTGAGTCAGTCTTGTACAACCAGGGAGGTCAGGGAACAGAGAGCCGCATAGGAGCAACCCCCCATATTTAAAGTCTTGCTACTTCACTCTGACCGCGCCCGTGTGTGCAAGGTCTGTATCACCTGTGCCAGCCTCCAAGTGGGCGTGCCCAGCATTTCCTCTACACTACCTGAGGCTGTCCTTTGACTTCCACAGGTATGGACACACAAATGGGGTGCTAACAGAAAGATGAGGGAACCCCAAAGCAGTCCCACTGGAAAGTTTCACCCAGCGTGGAGAGTGGCTTCTTCAGAGCCACAGAGATGGAACCCCACTCACTTCTGTTCCCAATATACTCTAACCTTTCCACACCAGGCCACAAGAAATTAGGGCAGAACAGCATACAAATGGCCAAGAGGTGGAGAAGACAGTGGCTGGACTCTCAGATGAGGGCCCAGTGACCCTCCAGACTCCATTTCTGAGGGAGTGGTCAACTGACCTGATGTGTTCACAAGCAGGCACACCTGATCTCATGAAGACAGATCTCTCATGCTCAGGGAACCATGCCCGCTCCCCCCCACCCCACCCCCCCTAAGTGGCTGGGCGCTGCTGAGATCTTATACATACTGACTGAATTGGCTTAGGGAGAGCAGAGACGTTTGTAGAATTTTACTAGGGAAGTGGGTTTTGTCTTTGCCTTCTCTGAAGCCACCTCTGCCCCAATGGCTGGCTCTCAAAGATCAGATTAGAGGCTGGGGGAGCATACCAACTTTGGAGACTCTGGGTGAATTCATCCATCCACGTCTGTTTGGGGCCCTCAGCACCATCTTAGTGTGGGGGGGAGTCACGTCTTTAAGAATTCCCATGGCCAAAACCAACTTGGGGAGGAAAGGGTCTATTTGGCTTACACTTAGGGAAATCAAGGCAGGGACTGAAGCAGAAACCATGGAATTTTTACTTTTCTAGCTTGCTCTTTGGGTCAGCTAGCCTTTTCATACAGCCCAGTCGCACCTGCTTAGGACTGGCGTCTCCTAGGCCAATCAGCAATCAAGAAAATGCTCCACGGACATGGCCACGGGCCAATATGATGGAGGCCGGGCTTCACGTGAAGAGCCTTCTTCCCAGGTGTGCCAGGTTGGGCACACACACACTCCTCCACTTTCCTCAGTTAGGCAGGGGCTCTCAATCAAACCCAGAGCACTCAGGTAGGGCTAGTTCTGCTAGCAAGCTTACTGAGGGATCTGGATCTGCCCCTAGAGGCTACACCACACACACACATACCCCTGGCATTTACACATGGACTCTGGTGATCTGAACGCTGGTGTGCTTTAACCACTGAGCCCAAATTTGCTTCCAAGACTCTAAGGACAGCCAGCTGGTGGTGTGCACACCTTTAACCCCAACACTCTTGAGGCAGAGGCAGTTGGATGTCTCTGAGTTTGAGGCCAGCCTGGTCTACAAAGCGAGTGCCAGGACAGCCAGGACTCCACAGAGAAACCCTGTCTCAAAAAAACCAAAGCAACCAAACAAGAGAATACTAGGAAAGTCGCACAATTGGCTGATAGAGACAGAAAGATGATGTCTATGGCAAGGTGGGCAGACAAACAAGGGGTGGGGGTGGGGGTGGGGAGGGACGGACGGACGGACGGACGACAGTAGAGCAGTGGGTGTTCCACAAGGGGGCAGTGGGAACAAGCTTGTAGATCTTGCCCAACAGGTTTTTTGTTGTAGTTTTTTGATTTTTTTGAGACAGGGTTTTTCTGTGTAGCTTTGTCAATCAGGCTGGCCTCAAACTCACAGAGATTTTTAAAGTTTTTAAAGACCAAAGAGATTAAGATTAAAAAAAAATCCTCAGAGCTGGGTGTGATGGCTCACCCCTGTAGTTGCAACACTTGGGAGGCTGAGGCAGGAAGATTGCCACGAGTTTGAGACTATACTGGACTACATAATGAGTTCCAGGCTAGACTGGGCTACAAAGTGGAATCTTATCTCAGTACACAAACAAAGCAAAATCTTAGTGTCTCCTGTGGTAAACTGGGCGTGGGGCACTTATCTGTAATGCTGGCACTGAGAAGGCAGAGGCACGCGGATCAGGAGTTTAAGGCCAGAATATCAAGGCAGGGTCTCTCAATCATATGAGAGCCATATGAGGCCCTGTCTCAAAAAAAAAAAAAAAAAAAAAAAAAGGAAAGAGGCCTGTGGGGATGGCTCAGTGGGCAAAGTAAGGCTGCCAACCTGAGTTCAATACCTGGGACTTAAATGGCAGAAGAAGAGCTCCAAATTTCCAAATTGTCCTCTTTTGTTTTGTTTTGTTTTTTGAGTCAAGGTTTCTCTGTGGCTTTGGAGGCTGCTCTTGTAGACCAGGCTGGCCTCAAACTCATAGAGATCTGCCTGCCTCTGCCCATTGCCCGGTGACAGTAGGCAACTTTATCCACTGATTATTCTCACCACTTGCAGAGTTCAAGACTGGCCAGGAACATATGAGACTTTCAGAATAAACCATGACAACAAATGAAGCTTAATGTTGGTCTTGAGTTCCTTTCCCTTACCTCTTGGTAAGGATGGAGCCTTCATTGACAAAGGCTGGGTATCAGTGTCAAGACTTGGTCAATAGTGTCATGAGCCCATGTGTCTAGCCTGCGGATAGGCAGTGTAGGTAGCTCCCAGCATCCCCCAAGGCTGTGTAAACATCTCATGTGAGCAGAGGAACGCCAGCCATAGACCTTCTTTCTAGAAACAGTGCCCTTTGTCTAGGAGTCAGGCTATGTGGCAACACCCCCTGACTGCTAGGTAGGACTGTCCTCCCATCTCCAGGATGACATACCAGGTCTGGAGAGCAGCTGCATCAGCTCATGTAGCTCCCTCCAGGGTGCTCCCTCTGAGAGCTGATGTGGGCCAGCAGGCCCTGGAGGAGACAGCAGAGCACTGTGTGTCCCCGTCCTGCTGCCCTGTCACAGGGATGTGGCGTGCAGTGAAGGAGATGCTGCAAGCTGGCGCCGGTGTCCTGCAAGGCTGCTGGGCCTCTGTCTCAGGATGCCTGGCGTCCTCACAGATGGGCACGACCAGACTTGCCCTGTACTCCGGGTCACAGGCTAGAGTCCCTTGCCCTAATACTAGCCCCACCACAAACAACCAGCTCCTCTGGTTCTATCTGCCAAGCCCCGGGGCCTCAATAAAGCCAACAAAGTGTTCCCCTCCCACACCCCCTGCAGGCAACCTTGGCTGCCCTAGGCATTCTGGGTAGGAGCTTGCTACTGTCTCCTTTCCTTCCAAGGGTTCTGGTCCTGTTCTTCAGTGAGCTTGGTAGCTCTACCTCCCCCTTCAAACTCAATACTCTTGGGATGGGGTCCCTTGTAGCCCAGGCTAGCCTCAAACTGACTGGCTTTGAACTTCAGGCTCTAGAATGCTGGGATTATGGGCTTGGGTGACGCCCCTCTCTGTTTATGTGGCACTAGGGATCAAACCCAGGCTTTGTGGATGCTAGGTGAGCCATCCTCATTTCCTGTTTTTTTTAGGATTTATTTATTTATTTATTATGTATACAACATTCTGCTTCCATGTATATCTGCACACCAGAAGAGGGCACCAGACCTCATAATGGATGGTTGTGAGACACCAGGTGGTTGCTGGGAATTGAACTCTGGTCCATCTGGAAGAGCAGCTGGTGCTATTAACCTCTGAGCCATCTCTCCAGCCCTGGGGTTTTGTTCTTTAGAAACATATAGCCCAGGCTGACTTCAAACTTACTATGTAGCCAAGGATAACCTTGAACTTCTGATCTGCCTGCCTCCACCTCTCAAGTACTGGGACCACAGCAGTAGACAAACACATTCGGTTTCCAAATTGATTTAAAAAAAAGAAAAAAGGCCGGCCACTGTGGTGCACGTCTTTAATTCCAGCCCTGGGAGGACAGTGGCAAGGCAGATCTCTGTGAGTTCGAGACCAGCCTGGTCTACAGAGTGAGTTCCAGGACAACCTTCAAAGCAATACACAGAAACCCTGTCTCAAAAGAAACAAAAATAAATAAATCAAAAAATAAAATAAAAAGGTGTGTCTTATGTTTGAGTGTTTCGCCTGCATGCAATGTATGTCTGTACATCACATGTGTGCCTGGTGCCGTTGGAGGTCACAGAAGGTTGTGTCACTCCAGAACTGGAGTTACAGACGGTTGTGAGCCACTATGTGGGTGTTCAGAACCAAACCAGGTCCTCTGCAAGATCAGTCAGAGCTCTTAACCACTGAGCCACCCCGCCCCCCTGGGTAGCATTTTAAAATAAGCTTTTATTTACAGTTTGCTATCTATGTTTGGAAGTAGCTCATATAAGGCCCCCAATGTCCCACAGAATAAGTGATCTGCTGGTCCAAAGCCTTTTTGTCCATCTCCTCCCCAGCCGGCCAAGGCCTAAGCTTGGAGGCAATGGTCCTCATCCCACACCCTTTGAGCAGAACATTCTGTGACCATCGGGCCCACACTGGCTGGCTACCACTCCCACAGGGATTTATTTCCAGCACCGTTCAGGAACCTTCAGCCACCCAGGCCATGGCCTTCACCCGGGCCTTAGCCACCATGCTGGCACTGCTCACCGGGGTCCAGCCACATGTCTTCAGTGAGACCTCAGAATATAAAAAGGTGAGTAGTGTCCCCAACTTTCTCGGTGGTGGAAGGATGGGGATGAGGGTGGCAGACAGCTTGCAGCCACCCTCCAGTGGGGATCCAGGCCCTGGCTCGAGGTGTGGGGGACCCCAGATGCACTCACAGCCCTGGACCTGGAGACCAGCACCCCTGGCCCAGGTCCCATCTGCTCTCTCAGCACTGGGCTCACTACCCTCCCCCACCATCCCAAACCCTAACTATCGGCTGATTCTGGTCCTCTCCTGACTTCCTCCAAGGCCTAGGGCTCATTCTAGATGCATTCTTTCTTCCCCCCTCTTTCCACCCTACATAATTATTTTAATTCTAAAAGTTCCTTCCTTCCTCCCTTCCTCCCTTGTCTATGTACATGAAGTCTGAAATGTCTCAGTGGGGTCCATTTTCTCCTCCCATCTCTACGCATTCTGGGGACTGATCTCAGCAAGCACCCACTAGCTATTCAGATAGTGGTCTGGGACTATCCCAGTGTTACCCTTTGGGAGCCATGGAGGTGAGAGGGCAGGAAATGGGGCGCAGAGGGAACCAGCTCAGTCAAGTCCTGCTTGGGGAAGAGAGTGCCTGGGGTTGGGTCTGAGGTGACAGTCTCATGGCTTCTGTTCCTGGACCCCTGGGTTCTTGGGCATGGCCAGGACCTCCTTCATCCCTCTATAGACAGGAGCTGGTGACCAAGGGCTGTCTCCACAGGCCAACGGAGACAGGTGTGTCCACCACAACCAGTGCTTCAGTGACTGTTGCCTCATAGACCTGGAAAGAAGGGGGGCCTTCTGCACCTCCAAGTCTCGGATGGGCATGGAGTGCTTGCCCCAGGTGAGACACCAGCAAGCAGGGAAGCGGGAGGGAAGATAGAGAGAGAGAGAGAGAGAGAGAGAGAGAGAGAGAGAGAGAGCACACGCCTCTGCCTCCACCTCCTGGAATGCCCTTCCCCCACTACCGACAACTTCCGGACCACTCCTTCCAGGCTGGGCTGCCTTGCTCAGTTGTGAAGCTTGCAAAGGCAGCAGCAGAGCCGCTAAGAAGCCTCACAGCCTGCTTAGTGGCTGCACACGGTGGACGTTGGTTGAACGAGAGTCTTTTTCTTACCCTTTCTGATATAAGGGGGATGGGAGAAGACGCCTACCCTGTCCTAGTGGCCATCTCCCTATCCCTGATGTTTACTAGGGAGAGCTGCAGGGCTACCTGGGACCTCAGCTCTCTGGTGGGATCCACACTTAAATCCTGGTTTCTCTGCCAAGGTCCCCTTGGACCTCTCTGACCATTAATGGGGACTAATGTGTCTACCTCATGAAGTGGCTGGGCATGTTCACAGGGCTCACTCAAGCAGGCTGTTGTCAACTGGAAGACACAAAGGTGCAGAATGGCTTGTTCCTACTCATTGGCCCTGGGCCCAAACTCTTCTAGGGGTAATGGACCTAGCCTCTAATTCCCTGCCTGGTCCACTACAGGTGTCTAAAGGAACCAGCCAGGGGGTGCCATGTGGCTTGGAGAATCTCTTTATTAGAGGCCACTTGGCACATTACACCTCACTCACTACAGTATGGAGATGAACAAGGTCACTGTTCTAGTTGGCTTTCTGTTGCTGTGATAAACACCACAACCAGAAACAATGCAAGGAAGAAAGAGTTTGTTGCAGCTTATACTTCCAGGTGACCAAGGGACGTCAGGCGGGAACGAAAGAAGAGAACATAGAGAAATGCTATTCAGTGGTTTACTCCAAGGCTGGTGCTTAGCTTTTTATACCAGGTTCACCTGCCTAGGGATGGTGCTGGCCACAGTGGGCTGGGCCCTCCAACATCAAGGCTAATCTGAGGGAGGCAACTCATTAATTGAGGTCATCTCTTTCCAGGTGACTGTAGGGTATGTTAACAGGAAAACCCAGTGTGTGTGTGTGTGGGGGGGGGGTGCTGGAGCGCTCACTGGCTCATCACTGTAGAGCACTCGTTCTGACAGGAGACAGGCTTCCATTCCTAGCATTCATGGTGGCTAACAACCATCTGCAACCCCAGTTCCAGGTGGCCTAACAAGCATGCAGGCATGTACATAGTTCAGGCATGTAAACACATGAAGGAAAATAAATCTAAAAGAGAAACCAGGACAGCTGCTGTTGTCTGCTCTGGGCAGAGGAGACCGGGCAGCACAGGCTGTGCTCAGCCATATGACATAGAACCTCGGGTTGGGTTGGGCATCTCCCACCACTACTTACCTCTCTTGCCCGGCTCCCAAGGAAATGTAATCCCCTTGCTTTACACCCTTCTTTGCCCACAGACCAGGGGGACCCTGAACTTCGTATGTCCCTGCCGAATCGGCTTGAGCTGCCCTTCCAAGGAACCCATGTGCCCCCGCCGCTGCCAAATGATTTAGAGGAGGACACAGGTTGCTCATGGCAGCTGCGGTTGCACCCTCCCCCAGGTGTCCCTCTCCTCAGGTGTCCCTACCCCACTCCACCCCCTAGCAAGCTTGTCCCCATTAAAGTCACTTCCTGGCTCCGGTCTCTGTCTGCCCTTTGTGGGAAAGCCCCTCGGTGGGGACCGGGTTTCATGGGAGGGGCGGGGCTGAGAGATGAGGCTGGGGGTGTGGGGGGCAATGTTTTGTGAGGGGAACAGATGGGTGAAGATCACTTGAAGTGTGTCTGTTCAAATGTGTGGGGGTATGTAGACGAAAGACTGTGGGCCAACAAGATGGTTCAGCAGGTAAAGGCACTTGCTGCCAAGCCTGGAGACCCGAGTTCAGTCCCCAGGCTTCACGTGGCAGGAGAGAATGGAATCCTACAAGTTGTCCTCTGCTGTCCACGTGTGCAGAACACAAAATAATTGTTTTTTTAAAATTCTTATTTATAAAAAAAATTATATATGTGCATTGGTGTTTCACCTGCATGTATATCTGTACGAGGGCGCTAGGTACCTTGGGACTGGAGTTACAGACGGTTATGAGCTGTCATATGGGAATTGAACTCAGGTCCTCTGGAAGAGTTCTTCTAGTGCTCTTAACTGCTGAGCCATCTCTCCAGCCCAAATTTAAAAAAAAAAATTAATTCAAGAATGTGAGGCTAGAGAGATGTCTCAGCAGTTAACAGGGCTCCTGCTCATCCAGAGGCCCAGAGTTCAATTCCCAACACTGACATTAGGTGGCTCACAAGTGCCAGTAACTCCAACTCTGGTGAATCTTCCCTCTTCTGGCCTCTGCAGATACTGCTCACACATATGGTGCGCACGCACACACACACATACACACCTTTTTATTAAAAAATGCAAGAATGTGACCAGTAGAGTGTGCCTTGAAGCTTCCACTGTATAGAGAGAGACACTGGGGTAACACCATAGACTTTTCTGCTTCAAGAATACCTGAAAAGTGAATTCTAGGACAGCCTCCAAAGCTACAGAGAAACCCTGCCTTGAAAAATCAAAAAAACAAAAACAAAAACAAAACAAACAAACAAAACTGAAACACCCACCTGAACTGGCTTAAGTGATATAAGAAACTTGCTCATGGTTAGATATGAAATTCAGAGCCACAGCAGGTCCCAGTTCAGGCCTCAGCCAGTCCTGGGTCCCAAGCCAAAGTCCTTCCCAGTTGCCTAGCAACGACAGGATTTCCAGGTGTCACCCAATAACATCGAGTTTAATGAGCACCATGTTTCCGGGCTGCTGGACCTTCTCCTCTGTCCAATAGAGGCTAGAGGTACTGGGTTTCCCTGGAGCTGGAGTTGTGGCAGTTGTGAGCCACTGATATGGGTGCTGGGAATTGAACTGAGGCTGTCTGCAAACCAGTGTGAACTCTTTACTGATAAGTCATCTCTCCAGCTCATTTTAAGATAACATTAAAAAGATGTGTTTTTATGTTATGTGTGTGACTGTCTCAGCCACATGTATGGCAGAGAGTAACCCCCCGATGTGGCCTCTGGCCTCCACACCCGCACGTCACAAACAGTTCCTCCTACCCTTTGCATTACTGTTTTTGTTTGTTTGTTTTTGTTTTTTGAGACAGGGTTTCTCTGTATTGTTTTGGCGCCTGTCCTGGAACTCGCTCTTAAGCGTTATTCTTGAGTTATGTCTTTGAGACAAGTGGCTGGACCTGAAATGTTGGGAGCTGAGTCAGGTCTCCAGCTCATATCCCTGCCTCATCGGGAGGATGAATGGTCCACACTGTGATCAGCTCCAGGAGACAAAGGCAGAGTTAGAGGCCAGCAAGGACCACACAGGAAGACCTGGCTCAAAACCAGGAAGCACAAAATAATCGCAGTAACGGTTACCCAGGGCCTGCGAGATGGCTCAGCGGGTAAAGGCCTTTGCGATGCAAGCCAGGGGACCCTAGCTCAGTCCCCAGACCCTGAAAGATGGAAGGAGAGAACCAACTCCTACAAGCTGTTCTCTGACGGCACCTCGTGTGCTCTGGAGTCCACCCTGATAAATTCATAAATATAATAAAAAATAAATAATTACTAAGGTGAAATATCCTCCCTTCTCCTGGACTTGACCATAGAAGAAAGTGAGGGCTGCCTGGAACATGCCTTGCCTTTAGCCAAATAGCCAATTTAAGTTAAATAAGCCAAATTTTTAGGGTTTTTGTTTTTTCTTTTTTGAGACAGAGTCTCACTATGTCATCCTAGCTGTTAGCTATGTAGACCAGGCTGGTCTTGAACTCACAGAGCTCCACCAGCTTCTGCCTCCTGGGTACAGACTTAAAGGCCACAGAGAGAATGCCACAGGTTCACCAAAGCCCACTTCCTTGTTGTTTCTGCAGAAGGAAGGGAAGTGATGTATAATTTTTGGACAAAGCAGAAAAAAACCCAGGAATTATGACACAAAAGAAGAAGCCCAGCCGGGCGTTGGTGGCGCATGCCTTTAATCCCAGCAGAGGCAGACGGATCTCTGTTGAGTTCGAGGCCAGGCTGGTCTCCAGTGCCAGGATCGGCTCCAAAGCTACACAGAGAAACCCTGTCTCGAAAAACCAAAAAAAAAAAAAAAAAAAAAAAAAAGAAGAAGAAGCAGCAGCAGCAGCCCAGACCCATGTTTGGCCAATGGCTTTCAAACCTACCCCTTCCTGATGGCCCCACAGGTGGGAGGGAAATAGACTACACAGCCTTCCCCAGGTGCTGACTGGAAGTTCAGAAAGTCACACATTACAGGTGATTGGGGGGGGGGGATGTTCACCCTGGCCCTTCCCAGCCACTACTGGGTGTCCTGTAGCTCTCTCCTGTCTCCCACTGAATGCTCCATTCTGGAACCTAGAAATCTTTAAAAGCTTCCGGACCTAGGACCATAGGCTTCAGGTAATGGGGCAGGGGCTGTCTTTGCCATCTGTGGGCATCGAGAAAGTAGTTGGTTCTCCGGTTCTCTCATTGCTGCGGCCCTGGAACTATGAGAGACCTGGATTTTTCAAGTCACTACTCAGAGGACTCAGATTCAGCACACACTGTGAAAGCAAAACAAACAAACAAACAACAACAACAATAACAACAACAAAAAAACCCTACCTTTTCTGGGCATGGTGGCGCACACCTGTGATCTCAACATTCTCTTCTGAACTTCTGGTCCTCCAGACTCAGCCTTCCAGAGAGCTGGGAATCACACAGCCAGTGGAATTGAGCTGGGATTTAAATCAGCTCCTCCTGGGGCCAGAGGCTTTCTCTGGCAGCAAAATGAGTGTGTGCTGTTTGGGGGCCTCCACTGTTCTCAGGACAAAGGCTTTCTACATTGGAAGGAACTCAACATCTATCCCGGCCCTATAAGGTTCAGAAATAACCCAAAATTCCGTTCCATCAAAGCTCCCCTGGGAACTTTGAGTTTACTGTGCCTACTTACACACAGGAATGAGAGACAACTGACATTGTGGGTGACCCCAATGTACCTGCTCTGGAAGTCTGCCCCCAGCACCTAGGTTAGCATCCCTGTGGCTGAGCAGGTGGGACCCCTACCCATAATCTACTCCAGCCGCTCCCTGGGACCACCCCCCTCCAGGCCACCAGCAATTAGGGCAGATTGCATACCTTTGGCTGGGAGGGCTGGTTGGGTAATCAGGTGATAGTCACATAATCTGCCCTGAACTCCCGAAGGCGGCTGCTGCTGCCTGGGAGGATGGTCCATGGCTTGCGCCTTCTGGCCTGTCTCTTGGGTTAGCCCAGGAGCCAGTGTCCTCCCGAGCTTTGGTCACATGGTCATGACTTGGTAGGAGCCAAGCCTTAGTTGCACCCTAGAGGAGCCCACCACTTGAGGACCGGCCCGATTCCCTGCTCACTTCTCAAAACCAAAGGTGCTCTGTTCACATCCTAGAGAGCCGAAAACACCGTGGGCACTGTGGTCAGCCTAGACACACACAAAAGCATGACTGTGGCTCTCTTTGGAGGCTAAGCGTGGCGCCTGCCTCTGCACTTGACCTGCCTCCACCCGACAGGCACTGACAGCTCTTCATGTTGAGGTTTGGCCTTCCTTTCTCGATAGTGGAGCCCCACTGTTACCTGAGCAGCTGCAAGCCCAGCTCTGGCAGAGGGGTCACAAACCGTCAGTCATGATGGCCCAGCCTCCTTTGCAGCTAGAGTTGGCCAGACCCAACCTTCCTAATGCTGAGACCCTTTAACACAGTTCCTCAGGTTTTGGTGACCCCCAACCATAAAATTATTTTCACTGCTACTTTATAACCATAATTTTGCTACTGTTATGAATTGTAATATAAATATCTGATATGCAGGATATCTGATGTGTGACTCTGTGAAAGGGTTGCTTGACTTCCAAAGGTACCACAGCCCACAGGCTGAGAATTGCTGGCCTAGAGCCTCTTAGCAGAGACAAGGGGAAGGCAGGGAGGAGAGCCTGGCTCTCCCCAGCCCAGACTCCCCTGCCTCAGAATATGGTGAAAAGGTATAATGCTAGGAGTGGCTGCTAACCCCCCAAGACACATGCCAGCACTTCCTGTCTGCCCGACCTGTGGGGTGGTGAGGTGTAGATGCCTCGTTTCTTGAAGTCATGATGACTTGGGACTTTGCAGTTGAATGTGGTCTGAAGATAGAAATTACGGGTTCTAGAGGTTTCGCTGACCCCAGACCTTCAGACTGTGGGCCTGGGGGAGTGCCTGAGTTTTGATACTCCACCTTGTGTGTGACTCTCCCCACCCCCAGCAATCCAACCCAGGGTCGGCAGCATCTGCTTAGGCCTTATGTATGCTGAATCTGTCTTTCTTTTTTTTCTTTTTATGATTTGATTTTCCTTTATTATTTTTCACTTCCATCTCCAGCACACTTCTCTCTTTAATTTTTGCGTTTACATCATTCTCGATCCTCACAATATTTTTTTAAATTTATTTATTAGTTCTAGTTAGGGAACAAGCTTGTTTCAAGTCCCTTCTTCCTCTCCCTCCCCTCACCCCCA